TCAGTGTTCAATTTTTTTTCAAAGTATGGTTCTGTTTTTTATATTCTGGTTTTTTTTTTCAAAGATTTTATTGTATTTATTTATACAAGCACTGGGTACAGTCAGAAGCACGAGAGGGTGAGAGAAATCACCAAAGCCAGAGCGGAGAGCAGAATAGGCAGACTGACGAAATACACGGCTGAGGGCAGCAGTGGGTGGCAGGAGAGGTCTGCGCGCCATGTGGGACCCCCGCCGGCCAGCCAGGATAGAACCCGTGCTCAGAGTCTGCGGACAGCTTCACAGCACGGTGCTCAACTGCCTGCGCCACCAGGGGAGGCCTTAACCAGTTGTGCTTTTGTTGTCTTTTTTTTTTTATATTGCCTTTCACAAAAAGTATATTTATTTATTTATTTATTTTTAATTTTATTTTTATATTCCCCATACAGTTGCAACCCCCTTATTTTGACCCCAATCCCTCCTTTCCTCGCCACCCCCTCCCCCATAGTGTGTCTCTGGTTCATAGTTGTTTGTTGATTTTGATTTTTTCTTTCTTATAGTTATTCTTTTTCCTGGTCCCTTATTTAGGTTTTCTAGATTCCTGCTATGATTGAGACCATCCAGTATTTTTCTTTTTCTTTTTGGCTTATTTCGCTGAGCATGATCCCTTCCAGCTCCATCCATGTTGCTGCAAATTGCATGTGTTTATCTTTTTTGAATGCTGAGTAATATTCCATGGTGTATATGAACCACATCTTCTTGATCCAGTCATCTATTTTTGGGCATTTGGGTTATTTCCAAAGCTTAGCTATTATAAATAGTGCTGCTATAAACACAGGGGTGCAGGTGCTCTTTGAAATTAATGTTTCTGTGTCCTTTGGGTAAATACTTAGGAGTGGAATTACTGGATCATATGGAAGCACAAAAACCAACTCAAAATGGATTAAAGAACTAGACATAAGACCCGAAACCATAAAATATATAGAAGGAAATATAGGCCAAACACTGCATGACATGCACCTCAAAGACATCTTTACAGACACATCACCCAAAGCAGTGATAGTGAAGGCAAAGATAAACAGCTGGGACTACATCAAATTAAAGAGCTTTTGCACAGCAAAAGAGACAATAACAAAAACAAAGAGAAACCCCACCGACTGGGAGAACATTTTTGCACACAACACTAATGATAAAGGACCGATCACAAAAATCCACAAAGAGCTGATGAGACTCAATAAAAATAAAGAAAATAATCCAGTCAAAAAATGGGCAGAAGAGCTAAAAAGAAACTTCTCCAAAGAGGAAGTACAAATGGCCAGCAGACATACGAAAAAATGTTCAGCATCACTTACAATCAAGGAAATGCAAATCAAAACTACACCGAGATGCCATCTTACACCAGTGAGAATGGCACATGTTAAAAAAACTAGCAACAACAAATGTTGGCAAGGATGTGGAGAAAAAGGAACTCTTCTGCACTGCTGGTGGGAGTGCAAACTGGTCCAACCACTATGGAGAGCTGTGTGGAGATTCCTCAACCTAATGAAGATAGTGCTTTTGTTGTTTTAAGTCAAGTTCAGTCAGAGCCAAGTGTCTGAGCCCAGCAGTTGGGAGAGCAGAAGAGGACTCTGGCACACCATTGACCCCCCACCATTTGCTCCTGTCTCGGCCTGTGAGGGAGACTCTCCACATGGGGGGGGGCAGCAGCCATCACTTCCAGCCTTTGCGAGGCCAGAGCCAGGCTTGGTTTTGTGATTTTATGATGAGCCAGTCTATGCTTTAAAGAGTTTGTCACGTCCCAAACATGTCACAAATAAGAGTACCATATGCGTCAGCGTTTGCACACCTCGATATAGGCCCAGAGGATTGAAAATAGGCGTCCAGCTCAGTCGTGCACACAAATCGTAATAGCCACACTGTTCATCCTAGCCAAAGGTAGAAACAGGGCAAATGTCCACCGGTGGGTGAATGGAGAAGCAGAAAGTGGTTGATGCCTAAATACCAATATCACTGCCACTTAAGGGAGAAAGTCAATTGGTGCGGCTATGTGGAGTGCACCACAGCAATTCCCTTAAAAAAAACACATAAGATTCACCCGGGATCCAGCAATTCCACTTCAGGAATGTGCCCAAAGAACCAAAAGCAGCGACCCAAGCAGATGACCCGCACACCCGCGTTCACAGCAGCAGTCACCATCCAGTGGTCACCAGCAGTATCCAGAGACACTGGTGTCTGACCAATTCTTATGGGTCTCCACCGGGAGGTGCCTTAGAATGGGGCAGACTCTCGAGCCTCAGTGGCCCTGCTTTGGGACAAACCTGTTTGGCTGGGCCTTTACCCATGGGGGGTGGGGGGAGGGAAACTCTAGTGCTGGATTTGGAAGCTTTACTCATCCCCTTTTCCTCATTGCACACTGGTTGTATTAATGTTCATTTCCACAAAAGGCCTCACACTAGGTGGATGATTTGTCTCAATGTGCTGGATGGCAGAATCTATGTAGAACACGCAGGTTTGGGGGTGATGGACTCAGGGTCAGGGCCAGGGCCAGGGCCTCCCTGGTGGCGCAGCGGTTGGGCGCTGGGTTGCGAAGCTGCCCGCAAGCTCTGCAGCATTGGTTCGATCCCTGACTGCTCCCCGGCCACCAGAGGAGGGTCCCACATAGCGCGCAGAACTCTCCTGCCTCCCGCTGCTCCCCTCAGCAGTGTCCTTCGGTCCTTCTGCCTGCTCTGCTCCCTGCTCTGACTCTGGCGAATTCTCTCACCCTCCCGCGCTTCTGACTGTACCCAGTACTTGTATAAATAAATAAATAAATAAATAAATAAATAAATAAATAAATCTTTAAAAAAAAAGATAAATACTTTTAGTGCCTCCCTTGTGGTGTAGGAGTTAAAGTCTCAGTGCTACCAAGCAATTGCCCGCCACTGTGGCCTGAGTTTGATCCCTGGTCAGGGAGTTGACCCACATGGCACAGCAGACCTCTCCTGTTTCACTGCTGCTCCCTTCAGCAGTGGGTTTCAGTGGATCGACCTGTTCTGCTCCCCAGTGTGTCTCTGGTGAATCCTCTCACCTCCTGCGCCTCTCGTCTAGACCTCAGTTCTTGTTTGCATAAATAAATCTTTTTAAAAAAGATAATTTTAAGAGTTAGCTTACATTCTTCCCCGTAATTTCCAATATTTTGAACTGTGAACTATAACACCTGTGTGTAAGAGCAGAAACTATAAACGTGAAATTTTAGAATTACAAAATGAACTCCCAATAAATGGGTGAAGTAAGACCATACTATCATAATCTTCCTCCCCAAGTAAGCATAAATATGTGGCTGTCACTATAATTATTTCCCTTGCCCTTCATGACAATTAATCACCTAAGTGTGTATCACTAAATGCATATATAACACATGATTTCAATTTTGTCTGGTATTTAAAATTTAAATCAATCATATTATGTTCATTTTATATCTGAAATAACACTATGTCTACAGTTTTATATCTTTCCTCCTTCATTTTACATTATAACATAAATATTTCTCAAGTCATTTTATTTATTTATTTTATAGAGGCATGTTTTATTTATTTATTTGTTTGTTTGTTTTGTTTATACAAGCACTGGGTACAGTCAGAAACGCGGGAGGGTGAGAGAACCCCCAGAGCCAGAGCGGGGAGCAGAGCAGGCAGAAGGACCGAAGGACACTGCTGAGGGGAGCAGCGGGCGGCAGGAGAGGTCTGCGCGCCATGTGGGACCCTCCTCCGGTGGCCGGGGAGCAGCCGGGGATCGAACCGGCGCCGCAGAGGCCGCAGGCAGCCTCGCCCCCGGGGAGGCCCTTCTCAAGTCATTTGAAGCCATTCAGAATGATTGTACCCAACAGCGACATTTGTTTTATGTATACAGTGTAATATATGTCACTGTTTTCTGGGGTTTTTATTCAGATTGTTCCAAGTATTTGCTAGTATAAGAAAGTGCTGGTTGGCATGTTACAAATAAAGATTTTTATTTGTGGTCAAACCATTCCCTTAGGTCATTTCCCAATTACTACTGGGAATTGCTATTGAATGACTATTTCTTTTCATACTTACGCACATGGATAATGTTCCCGATTCTCAACCCCGAGCCCCCGCGGAAGGCGACGCCAACTTGTTCTCTTCCCCGGATGCGCGAGGACCCTGTGTCAGCGGGTTCTTGCCTCCACGTCATTCCGTCTCCCCATCTTCAGGGCTCTGACGTCACACCCGCTTCCTGCTCCCCCTCTGCGCGGTCTTCCCCCCACGACTCTCCGGGCTATGCAACCCCTGGCCCGGCCGCCCCGCCCCTCGGCAGCGGCTGCGCCCCCCGCACCTCCCGCCGCCGCGGCGCCTCCGCCCGCCCGCTTCCCGCCCGGCCGCCCCGCCCCTCCGCGCCACCAGGCGGCGCGCGCCGCTGCCCCGGCCCTGGATCCCCGCGCGCCTCTCCTTGCTCGGCCTCGCCCCGCCCCCTGCGTGTTGACGTCACGTCACTGCGCGCTGACGCGGAGCGGAAGTGGCAGGGGCGCGGAGGTGAGGAGCGCGCTGGCGTAGCGGGACCGCGGGGTGAGGAAGGAGAAGCCCCGGGGCAAAGCACAGGCGGTGAGGGAGCGCGCGCCGCCTGGTTTTGAGGCGGGGAAATGCGGCCTCGCGGGGAATAATGTGGAGGCACCGGGCAGGCAAGGCGGGGGCGGGCGGAGCGGGACGCCCCCTCTCTCACTGTGAGGGGGGCAGCGGTTTGGGGGCCTCTGTGCTCGCGGGTCCGTGTTCCCCGCGTGTCTTTGATGCACATGGGCACGATCTGCTGTTTTCATGGCTGTGGAAACTTTAGGGTCATATTTTCAGAGACGTGCGCTCTCGGCCTCCGTTTCCGTTTGATTTTCTGAACTTCAGCCGCAGCCGGACGGGTGGGGGCGCCCCGTGAGCACCCCGGGGCTTTCCCGCTTGCCCCTGCCCCTGTAGCCCGCCCGGCCCCTGCAGCCCCGCCCCGGCCCCTGCAACCCTGACCCTGTGCCCGGCTCCCGCCTCCCCAGCTGCTGGGCTCGCCTTGGCACTTGCTTCTCTGGTCTTGGGGTGAAGGCCTTGCCTGCGGGAGCTGGGTTTCTTCAGGAGCCGCCCCAGAGGGCGTGGAGGGTGAGGACATCTCCCTGCCCGTGGCTGATGCGGAGCGGTGAGTTAGGGGGCCCTGGGCTGGGCAGGAGGGCTGTGGAGAGCTCTGCGCGGGTCATTTTGGGTCCTGGAGGAACACGGGGGTCAGGACATTCCCGAGTGTGACCCTGGGGGTGTCCAGCGCCCATGAATGAAAGCGCGTCCCCCGTGTTTGCTCCCCGCTCCTCTCTGCTGCACTGATCAACCCCTGGATGGGTTTTCTGGGTTCTCCACTCTGTTCCATTGACCTGTGTGTTTTATTTCTGTGGACTTAGAATATAATTTGGGGAACATATTGTACACTTTGCTGGGCCTGACATTCCCCCTCCCCACACCAGGTACAGCAGGCAGGAGGCAGAGTCAAGTCCCAGTCTCCCGGGGTACAGGTTCTGATCCAGTGGGTTGCGTGGTGCCTGGCACTCTGCATTTCTCATGGGGTCTGAGATGCTGCCTGTGCTGGGCCTGGGCCCACGCCTGAGGGCCGAGGCGTCACTCACTACCTGTTGTGCAGGTGATGTGGCCATTCAGAGCCTTGAAGGGGCTTTGACCCTGGAAACTGCCTCCTGAGGCGACTTTACAATAACCCTTGAATAGAATCCAGGCTTTCCTGAGCCTTGAGTGACCAGGAGCCGCACGGCTGCCACACTCTGGCTACAAGTCTTTGGTTTTCTAAAATGGGTTGTTGTTAACTGATTCAGTGTATTGAAAGCATGGCCCTCTCTGCATCACTGAAGGACTGACCCGAGAAACCCCACAGCAGTGACAGCTGGGTGCTGTCACCAGTTGGGGTGGAAAGTTTCTTCATGGGGAGTATATGAGACGCTGAAGGGCCCTTTTCCAAGCTCTTGAGATCTTTTCTCTATAGATGGTGCTAAGAGGATTCCTCCTATTTCAGGGATTGTGTAAACCACAGTGACTTATGTGGGAACTGGACATTTTGGAGATAATCCACTTTATCTTTTCTTTTTTTAAAGCCTTATGTATTTATGTATTTATTTATTTATACAAACACTGGGTACAGTCAGAAGCATGGGACGGTGAGATTCACCAGGGTCGGAGCAGGGAGCAGAGCAGGCTGAAGGACTGAAGTACACTGCTGAGGGGAGCAGCAGGTGGCAGGAGAGGTCTGTGCACCATGCGGGACCCTCCCTCAGTGGCGGGGGAGCAGACGGGGATCGAACCGGCGCTGCAGAGGCTGCGGGCAGCTTTGCAACCCAGCACTCAACCGCTGCGCCACCGGGGAGGCCCCACTTTATCTTTTTTATTATTAAAGCTTTTGTTTATTATTTTAATAGAAGAACTGGGGTGCAGGCCAGAGGTGTGGGAGAGTGAGAGGATTCACCAGAGACACAGTAAGGAGTAGAACAGGCAGATCTACCGAGATACACTGCTGAGGGGAGCATCAGGCAAGACAGGAGAGGTCTGCTGCACCATGTGGGTAGCTCCCCAGCCAGGCTTGAACTCAGACCATTGTGGTGACAGTGTGAGATTTAACCCCTAGGCCACTGGGCAGGGGGAGGCTGCATTTTACCTTTTAATGTGTTAAACTGATGTTGTTAGGGGGTGTTACCTCCTTCCTTGCCAATCCCTCTGTTATGCTCGCTTTGGAGAGAAGTTGAATTTCTCTGCAAAGGAGAAAGGAATCAGCATTTATTGAGCACCTGCTGGAGCAACAAGTTCATCGCTTTAGTTACATGATCTCCATTAATGACGCTATAGAGATATTATTTCTACCCTGTAGTCGTGGACCCTGAGGTCCAAAAGGGATCCGTGACTTCTCTGAGATCAAAAATAAGCACAAGGGCCAGATACATTTGGACTCCCAAGTATTTGTATTTTGTCCTGAACTGGAGGTTTTAAAATGAGGGTAAATTGTAACCCTCTTGGAGGCCAGGGGGAGGGAAGGCGTGTAGGCGCCTCCACCCATTCTCAGAACAGGTCCTTGGGTGTTGGGTGTCCTCCATAAGGAAGGAGCTTCGGCCTAAAACAAGACAGAACAAAACTTTCACGTTGCGTTGCCCCACGTGAAGATGCTGTCATTAATATTGAACGTGAATGACTTCATAGTTTTAGAATGGCTCTCATCCCAAACAGGATTGCTACTCGTAAGAGACTGCAGTTAAAAACAGCATTTTTCTAATGATTCCCACATAGCAGGTTTAATTGCTGCACCTACCAGAGAAAATTCCTGGAGATCTAGAACAATTGGCGAGGAGGGGATGCCTCGGCAGTGCCTGCAGCATTGTTCAGGATGAGACCCCCTTTAGGAGCATTTATTTATTTATATTGTCTTAGGGTCTTTTTTTAAAAAAAGATTTATTCATTTATTTATACAAGCACTGGGTACAGTCAGAAATGCGGGAGGGTGAGAGAATTCACCGGAGCCAGAGTAGAGAAGAGAACAGGCATACTGATGAAGTACACTGCTGAGGGGACCAGCTGGCGGCAGGAGAGGTCTGTGCGCCATGTGGGACTCTCACCCGGGAGCCAGGGATCGAACCAGCGCTGCAGAGTCTGTGGGCAACTTCGCAGCCCAGCGCTCAACTGCTGCGCCACTGGGGAGGCCCTGTCTTAGGGTCTTCCCTTTCCTTAAAGAGCATCTCCTTTTTTCTTTTCTTTTTTTTTTTTTTTTAAAAAAGATTTATTTATTTATTTATTTATTTATTTATTTATTTATTTATTTATACAAGAACTGGGGTATAGGCCAGATGCACGGGAGGGTGAAAGGAGTCACCAGAGACAGAGCGGGGAGCAGAGCAGGCAGATTGACTGAAATACACTGCTGAGGGGAGCAGCGGGGGAGACAGGAGAGGTCTGCTGCACCATGTGAGCATCTCTGTGGCCGGTGGGGATCAAACCAGCACTGCAGAGGCTGCGGGCAGCTTCACAGCGCTGCGCTCAACCGCCTGAGCCACCAGGGAGGTCCTTTTGTTCTTTTCTTACATAGTTATTCATTTCTGTCTAGTTATTGGTTTCTCCCCTCAGGGGTGGTCCCCATAGTTCTCCCACCACCATAGCACCCATGACCCATCACCTTGTGCTTTTCCCTCCCCTCTGTTTACGCCCTCCCTCCCCCTCCCTGCAGAATGCCTCAGGTCTTGGTCAGCCTGCTAGGGTTGTCTTTTTCTTTACCTTTTGTTCTGTTTCTCTATATTTCACATGTAAGGGAAACTGTTGTTTATCTTTCCCCTGCCTTATTGTGGCTAGCATCATCCCTTCCAGCTCCATCCATATCACCACAAGCGGCATGAATTTGTCTTTTTTGATTGCAGAGTAATATTCCGTGGTGTAATTATAACACAACGTTTTGATCCATTCATCTATTTTCTGGCATTTGAGTTGTTTCCATGTCAAGGTTACTGTAAATAGTGCTGCAATAAACACAGGAGTTCAAGTTTCCTGTTTTGTTTTTGTTTTTGTCCCTTAGGTAGATTCCTAGGAGTGGAACACTGGATCATGTGTAGACCTGTTTTCAGTGTTCTGAGGAACCTCCACACATCTGCCCATAGTGGCTGGACCAGTTTTCGCTCCCACCAGCGGCGTCAGAGGCTCATTTTTCTCTGCTGCTTCTCCAGCATTTGTTGTTTCCAGTTTTTCTTTTTTAATGTGGAGCCTTCTCAGTGGAGTGAGGTGGCAGATCATTGTGGTTTTGATTTGCATTTCCCTGATATCAGTGATGCTGAACGTCTTTTCTATGCCTGCTGGCCATTTGCATTTCTTCTTTGGCAAAGTGTCTTTTTACTTCTGGCATTTTTTTTTGACTGGGCTGTTTTTGTTGAGTCATGTAAGCTCTTTGTAAATCTTTGATATCAGTCCCTTAGCTGTCATGTGGTGTGCTGATATTTTCCCCCATTTGGCGGGTGTCTCTGTGTTGACCGTCTCTTGCTGGTTAGCCCCAGCTGTCTACATTCTCTCTGGTTTCCTTGCTTCTGGAGAAGAAACCTCAAAGACGTTTCTGAGCATAGTGTCACTGAGTGTTGGCCTGTGTTCCCTTCTGTGTATTCTATGGTGCCAGGTTTCACATGCAAATCTTTCATCCACTTGAGTTGGTTTGTGTGTGGTGTGAGGTAGTGGTCTAGTTTCATTCTTTTGCATGTGGCAATCCAGTTTCCCCAGCACCATTTATGGAAGAGGCTATTCTTGTTCCAATGTACATTCTTTGTTCCTGTGTCATAGTGTTATAGGGCAGCCCCGATACAAAACGGGTTGCCTGACTGTGGGTCCTCACCCGCGCGTTTAAAAGGACTTATCAATACTCTACTGCAGGCACACACGAAAGGTTAATAAAAGGTTTATTTACAAGGGAAGGGCAAATGAGGAAATGTACAACTCAGGGAGAAAAATGGGAGACAAAGTTTTAAATGCATCCTACCCAATCCGCCAATCTGGAATCCCAAATGGTACTCTGAGAGCTGGCCGCAAGCCAGGAGCCGTGAAGCCAGGAGGCGAGCCAGAGAGTGAGCCCCCCCAAGGCCCACGTGTTTGGTTTTTATACCCAACCCTGGCTGCTTAACTCCACCCACAGGTCCCTGCCACCTTCCCTTTGGTGGTGACAGGATTTGTCTTTCCCAGTGTCCTGATGGCTTTGGTCTGGAGTAGGGGTGGAGTCCACAAAGCCTGTATGGGATTAGCTCAGGACATCCTTTCCCCCTAACAATTGGTTAGTTCACCATTGGTCTCTGTGTCTGTTTTTGTTCTAATACTGTTTTCATTATAACAGCTTTGTAGTATTCTTTGATGTCTGGGAGTGTTATACCTTGTGGGTCTGCCACTCCTAAGTGGATTGTTTGGCCACCATTTTGTCACCTATAGTTCTAAGCAAGGTCAAGATGGCCCGGTCAGTTAGATGCAGAGCCCAACCCTTCAAGGTGCCCTTTCAAATCAAACAAGAGCACAAAGCCGGATTACGCTGGGAAGGCTATGCATCACGAGGTAGGACCAGGAACGCCTGGGGACCTGAGGACCAATGCATAACAAAGGACCCCAGAAGCTGATCAGTGGAAGCCTTGTTGATAAGATTAG